AGCTACCATCTTGAGGGGACATGTTAAGAAATAAAATTCCACATTCAATAAAGATGAAAACATAAACCAATTTATAAGAATTTGTGCTACTCTTTTTAATAAGGTTGACCTTTTACGATAGAACCAAAATCTTAACTGTTAATACCTCCTTCGACACGCCAAGACTTTGTTGTAATATCGTATTTCCATCCAAGAAATTTTTGTCATAATTTTAGCTTTTCCCAGGTCAAGTCAAGTAACTGATGTAGTCATTAGCTCAAGGCAACCACAATCCTTCAAAATAAAACAGCAAGCATCTATAAAACATACATTTGAGTAATACATTATATTTTATTTCAAAAAACATTCTTATGGTGGATTATTTCAAGAGCAGCAGTGCATTCTTTGCAAGTGCGTATCCTATAAATATGATCTTTCATCATATAAATAAATCTATTATTATAGAAAATGCATTCATATAGTGGGAAATTAGCACTTACATTTAGTTGTGTAAATCAATAATCGTCTTTGCCATAATTTTAGCATTTGTTAAGTCAAGTCAAGACACTAACGCAGTGTTAGCACTGGGCACCACAAGACACTACAAGACTTGGACATGCTTGTAGTCAATGGGACTGTCATAATCTTAACTTTGCTTAAGTCAAGTCTACTTTGGAGTTGGTTTCGTCGTAATTTAAGTTTTTTCTTAGTCGAGTCTTGTCACCATTGGAGAGATATCATATTTATATATATCAAGATGAAAAAAATTAGATAGCATCTCTTAAACAACCACTCCTGTCATACATCTATCTTCAAGGAAAACTTTATTTTATATTTCAAGCTCCCTCGCAACGATATATCTAATCAATCATGGGAAATAATGCAATCCTTGCTTTACTTCCCATCTGCTTGTTTACCTGCGTAATTGCCTCTTTCAATAGCTCCACCAATGAATATGCCCTTCTAGCCTTGAAGTCTCAAATTTCTGATCCAAACAAAATCCTGACCAAGAATTGGTCACGAGGAACGTCATTTTGTAATTGGATAGGTATTACTTGTGGCAAGAGACACCCGAGAGTAATAGGTTTGAACCTTGCAAACATGGGTCTAAAAGGTACTATTGCTCGAGAAATTGGCAATCTCTCTTTCTTGAGATCTTTGGTTATTAGCAACAACAATTTTCATGGCTTTATCCCATATGAAATAGGAAATTTAAGCCGGCTCCGAGAAATAGATATGCAGCACAATGATCTATATGGCCCGATTCCAACAAGCTTTGGATTTCTTGCAAACCTCCAAAATTTAAGCCTAATGAGTAACGTACTCAACGGGCATATTCCTAATCAGATTTTCAATCTCTCCTCGTTAGTAAAAATTGATGTTGCAAACAACAGTCTTTCGGGAAGTATTCCAATTGATATAGGTAACAATCTTCCGAAGCTAGAGAGGATAGGAATTTCAATGAATCAAATAGGTGGTAGTATTCCTCCAAGCTTGGGAAGATGCAGAAAGCTCCAACGGATTTCTCTATCCTTCAATAAATTGAGTGGAAGCATTCCAATGGAGATCTGGAACTTGTCAGAGCTTCAACGTCTCCATTTAGCAGAAAATAATTTGATAGGTATGTTTCAAAACCACTTTCTACATGCTTTCCCTCCCCCAACTCACAAGCACGTCCAAACAAAGTTAATTCTTTTCCAAATATTATAAAATTTTGAATGGTTTTCATGATTGAAAACATATCACAAACATTAAATTCATTAATCAACATCCAAAATCAAAGATTAAACCTAGTTTTATATATTGTTATTCAAAGTTCCTTTTCCAAGTTTTGTTTGCTTGATTCAAACTTGGATTACGGTTTGTTTACTTCTGCAAACTATTTGCCATTGAAGCCTTCAAGCACTTATCCCCGATGACGATAAATATTGTTTAAGGACAGTGATTCTTAATCATGTCCAAAACTTTCATTTTGACGAAATTCTTGTTGATGGTTTTTTCTTGTTCTTCATCAACTTTTCTCAACACTGTCCCCACATGAGTCTTCTCATAGGACTTCTAATTTAAGAGCATATGATTTTTGAACCTATCCTTGTCATTAGAATTAAATTTCTTTGATTTGAAATTTTACCGGCACTTAGAGAAGTTGATATCTGCAATAATGGATTCACAGGAAGTATTCCAAATGAAATTGGAAACTTATTGTCACTTCAATGGTTGGAATTGGGCAGCAATAACTTGACAGGTATTAATCTACCTCAGAAGTTTTGTTCTGTTATTGTCAATGGAAATTTATTCTCATATGAAAGTTTTAACAAATACCCTGTAACAGGTACTATTCCATATTCCATTGTCAATGTATCAAATTTGGAGATACTTAATATTGACACAAACAATATTCAAGGACGGATTCCGCAAGAATTGGGACATCTATCACTTTTAAAAACGATAGATTTTCCGGTGAACCATCTTGAAGGGGAAATACCTGAATCCATCTTCAATCTCACCAATCTACAACATATTTCGTTGGCACAAAATAAACTCTCAGGCAATCTTCCATCATCAATAAACAATGGACTCCCTGTTCTGGAAAGTCTCTATCTTGGTGGTAACGGATTAAGTGGAGAAATACCTAGCGGTATTTCAAAATTTTCTAAACTTTCGACATTGGACCTTGCTGAGAACTCATTCAGTGGACAAGTACCCATGACTCTTGGGAACTTACGAGACCTCCAAACACTAAATTTACAATATAATCAGTTGAAGAATGATCCTTCAATGGTTGAGTTAGATTTTCTTAGCCCATTGACAAATTGTAGACAGTTGAAGCACCTACATTTTGGATTTAATTCTTTTAACGGAATTCTTCCCAAAGTCTTGGGTAATTTGTCACAATCTGTTGAAACAATCACCGGTGGTTTTTGTCGCATTAAAGGCATGATTCCGAATGAAATTGGTAATCTGAGCAACACCTAAATGAATCGTTAGCCTCCGTTAGAATTGACAGGAACAATTCCTGACACGATTGGTCAAATGAGGAAGATGCAAAATCTCATAATTAGAAGGAATAAACTGTGGGGGTCAATACCTGTCAACCTTTGCAATATGGTAAATTTGTATCGCCTAGATTTGAGGAACAATCAGCTCTCTGAACAGCTGCCGGGGTGTTTAGGAAACATTAGTTCCTTACGAAATATCCATTTAGATTACAATGGATTGACTTCTACTATACCATCAACTTTGTGGAGCAACAAAGAAATTCAAATTTTGGCATTGTCTCATAATTTGCTTATTGGTTCTCTGTCTCAAGAAATTGGCAGCCTGAAGAGTTTGAGAGAGTTACATCTGTCAGGAAATAAGATTTCGGGTGATATTCCTACCACCATTGGGCAACTTCAGAGTTTGATAAATCTAACATTATCAAACAATAGACTGCATGGTCCTATACCCGATTCATTTGGTGATTTGAAAGAATTGGAGTACTTGGATCTGTCTGATAACATTCTTTCTGGTCTGATCCCCAAGTCATTAGAGTCACTGGAGTATCTCAAGTATTTTAACGTCTCATTCAATAAACTCAGTGGTGAAATTCCGAATGGAGGACTTTTTAAAAACTTAACAAGAGATTCTTTCGTAGGCAATGGGGAATTATGTGGAGCATCTCGATTCATGGTCATGGCATGTAAAAGCAACACATCAAAATCATCGAGCAAGACCAGGAATCTGAAATATATTTTACCACCATGTGCATTGGTAGCATGTATAGTAATAATTACTGTTTGGTTTGTGAGATGTAATAGAAATAAACCCCTTCCGACTCAGTCTAGTTTCCCTATTGCCCTCGCCGTCAAGAGGGTTTCATATTATGAAGTTCTTAGTGCTACTAATAACTTCGATGAAGAGAATCTAATTGGCAGAGGCAGTATTGGTTCGGTATACAAGGGTCTATTTTCTGATGGGATAATTGCAGCTATTAAGGTTTTCAATTTAGATGTGGAAGGTGCAGTCAAGAGCTTTGATACTGAGTGCAGTATATTGTGCAACATTCGACACAGAAATCTCGTCAAGGTAATTACTTGTTGTTCAAACCTTGATCTCAAAGCCTTGGTGTTGGAATATATGCCTAAAGGAAACCTTAGCAGTTGGTTATACTCTTCCGACTACTGCCTAAATATAGTTCAAAGACTGGAAATAATGAAAGATGTGGCAAGTGCATTGGAATATCTGCATCATGAGTATACGTCCCCAATTGTCCATTGTGACTTAAAGCCCAACAACATACTTCTTGATGAAGATATGGTTGCCCGTGTAGTAGACTTCGGAATTTCAAAGCTCTTAAAAGAAGACCAGAGAATTTCAGTAACCAAGACTTTGGGCACCATTGGTTATATGGCACCAGGTAAAATGTTTTATAACATAGTTATATATAGGGTTAGATGTTATGCTTATAATTTCACTAAACGTCATGCCAACGGTATATTCAGTGCAAAAATATTATTTCGATTTGTGAAATATCTCATATGAGGGCTCTCATTATGTCAATCTACTCACACAAAAATAAACTAAGCAAGATAAGAGTTAGTTTATGTATTCTTATATTCATTTAATCTTCTTACTGTTGTTTTATTCAATTAATTTTTTTATTAGGACAGTAAGTGAGTCAAATAATTAAAAAAGAGGACAAAGGGAACTGAAGGGGTAAATTTTTGCAACTTACAGGTTTAGCATTTTTAAGTAAATCTCATGCTAAGCCAGGGTGCTTTCTTTTCAGTACTTTCTTGTTTACTTAATTTTCTCATTAAAATTTTACATGTTAATTTGATCACACGTGTCAATTTGTAGAGTACGGATCTACAGGACTGATATCGACAATGGTAGATGTTTACAGTTATGGGATTATATTGATGGAAACATTTACCAAAAGGAAGCCCACTGATGCTATATTTGAAGGAGAGTTGACTATGAGGAGATGGGTGATCGAATCATTCCCTGATGCAATAATGCAAATTGTAGACATCGACGTAGTGAACGAAGTTGAAGAGAATATTCGATCTAAAGAGAGATGCATCACATCAATCATGGGGTTGGCTCTAGAATGCACAAGTGATTTGCCTGAGGAGAGGCTCAATATGAAAGATGTTTTAACGAGGCTCAAGGAGATCAAAACTGAATTTCATCCGGGCATAACTACGCGTGTAAGTCGGGATGCATTGGGTCAACGGGGACCAATTTTGGGGAGGCCCCAGGCCTGACACAACCTGTGAGCACAGCTAGTAACGGCCCCAAGCCAATCTGTTTTTTAATAGTGTGGCACTTTAGGAAACTGGAAGCTTGTTTAAGAATGTCATCTTTATTAATGTTGGTTTTATAACTTCCATATATTTGGTGATTTAAAGTCGTTGTTCCTTATGTACTGTTTTATTGATTTATAGTTCTGGTATTGTTTGTGATTTTTATTTTGTTGCTGATTTTGTAGAAAATGTGGATTTTCTGAAAGATCAATGAAAATGTCTTTTCAATAGCCTAAGCCATGTTCATATGGTGAAACATCAATTTTTATGATTTCAACAGTTATCAGGGTGTTTATGAAACCTTATCTCACTACGACTAATTTATTTAGCTTGTAATGCAATGACTTCCAGACTTCCACGAAGCTGATAACCATAAAGAACTTCAAATTTTGACGGTCTCATAGTTTGCTCCAGAAATTAGCAGCATGAAGAGCTTCAGAGCGTTATATCTATCTGGAAATCAGTTTTCGAGTGACATTTCAAGCACTATTGGGTATCAGCAGAGTTGTCTAATAGCCGACTCTTCTAATATGAAAGAATTGCAATACTTGGGTCTATCTAATAACAATATTTATGGTATGATACCCAAAATCATTGGAGAAACTTGAATGTTTTATGTACTTTAAAGTTTCATTCAATAAACTCAGTGGTGAAATCCCAATTTTTGGACCTTTAAAGAACTTAACTAAAGATTCTTTCATAGGCAATGAAGAATTATGTGGAGTTTCTCAATTCAAGGTCATGCTGTGCAAAGGTGATACGTCAAGATTACCAAGCAAGACCAGATACCTGAAATATATTTTGCCATTGTGTGGAGAGTATAGTAATTATTACAGTTTGGTTTGTGAGACGAAATACAAGCAAACGTCAATGCAGATCAGTCGAGTTCCACCCATTGCCTTCACTATCAGGAGGATTTCATATTATGAAGTTCTTAACGATACCAATAACTTCGACGAAGATAATCTGATTGGCAATGGCATATGCAGTGTTGGTTTGGTATACAAGGGCATCTTCTCCGACGTGGATAGTTGCTGCTATTAAGGTTTCTGATTTAGATATGGAAGGTGCCCTCGATAGCTTTGATGCTGGGTGCCAAATTATGTGCAACATTCATTACAGAAATCTTGTCAAGGTAATTGGCAGTTGATCTAACCAAGATTTTAGAGCAATGGTGATTGAGTAAATGCATATTGGAACCTGGTCAATATTTTTGTCGACTATTTATACATAAGTTTAATACAAGTCATAGCTGTGCATGTGTGTCATTCCACCTGTGCAGGGGCGGACGCAGAACTTTAACATTGGGGGGGGGGCACGATCGAACTTGCAAAAAAGTTGGTAGAAATTTTACAATCGAAAATTTACGTCCAAAAAAATCATATTCCATGTAATTTTACATCCAAAAATGTACATGGGATATGACTTTTTCGGATGTAAAGTTTCGAAATTTTTTGAAAATTTTCTAATAAAATGATGAAAATTACATTGAGAAATTTGTATCGCAAAAATAATAAATGTTAATGAAATAATTGATTCTTTAAAAAAAAACATGCGAGTTAGACGTCTTTTTAAAGATTCACGTTTACATTTGACTGAAATCTATAATCCGCCTCTCGGGCTAAATGCTTTCGCTACGAGCCTTTAGCCCCTCCGTGAACGAAAGTGGGTCTCAAAGACTTCTCATAATCAATACTAGAACACGGCCAAGGCCCCTAAGTGAACTATATGTACACGATCAGACCCCTTCATCCACAGTCAAGGCCACTCAGTGTAGTATAGAACACGGTCAAGACCCTTCAGTGAACTAGAATAAATATATAATCATGAGTACTTTTTTGTTCGATCTCGATCTCAATATCACATGTCTCACATTCCAATTCACAAATAATCCATACACAATCTAAAAAATTCTACACTGATCATTATGAAGGAATATTTCCACTTTAATCATGTAATTGGACAAATAAGAAGGAATATTTCCAAATTAATCATTTAATTAGACAAATAAATTCCATAATTGCATAAAATGTATAATAGTAAAATTTAATTTATCAATACTTGGAGAATATTTAAGTTTTTCCACTGACTGGACTAATTCGATCAACAAGTGTCCCGACCTCGCTATTTCCTGAAAAATGAAACATTTCTTCATATTAGCAACCATTTAATCCAATTTTCTAACCAATGGACCAATAGAAGACGTAAGCAGCTCAACTATTGCTCATTCTTTTCTATTTTTCCAATTTAGTCCACCCATGAAAGAAAATTCATCAATTTTTTATTTTCCATCCCCTTTCTCCTTCCACATTATCTTTTATTAAGGCCAATAAATATCCAATTGCAGTCCCTTTCTAATTGAAAATAATTACTGTTGTTGAAAGATGAAACAAGAACTTAAAATAGAGTCCTCCATTCTTCTCTCTCTTGTTGCAGGTACCCATTAATAACAATTGGGCAAATCCATAATCAAAACTCCTTTAACTCATTCCACTCAATGACTCACAACTCAATTCGTTCCCGTTTCTATTCAATGTATATAAATTTTTGTCCATATAATACTTTACAATTTGAAGCATTGATTTAACTTCGAAAATGAAGCAAAACAACCTAGCACCATAAAATCGAATTCTAACTGACCATAATCCTGCCCATTTCATTTCTTTATTGATCATAAGCTATCAATTTCTTTCATCTCTAGAATTAATAGACAACACTTAATATAGCCCCAAAAGTTAAGCTAAAGATTGAACTGATGATTCTTAGTTCATTATAAGCACACTACAATTAATTCATGAAATCATTTTTTGATCTTACCTGATGAAGTAGCAAACATAGAATCAATTCCAGCAATAGGTGAACTATGTCCCAACTTAAATTTCCTCTTCCTTTTCTTTTCTTCTTCCCTTTCTCTTCTTTTTCTCACCGCCTCTCGTTTCTCTCTCTGTTTATCTGTTCTCTCTCCCCCTTTCCCCAAAAATTGAGAAAACAAATGGATAGGTACGAAAGTTAAGATTAATTCTACTTGTACCAAAGTGGTTGACAACCACTCACAGTGGTGGACCCCACTGTGATTAAAAAAAGAAAAAAATTATCCACCCACTCACCCCATATGTGAGAAATTGTCAACAAACCCACCCCCTCCGTCCCCCTGTACAAGTAGCATATCTGGAAAGTTAAATGGATAACTATAATATAATTGAAACTAAAGTCCTCGAGCTTCTTACAGTATCACATTTAGTCCTTTCATATCCAATAATATAAAGTAAATCCCTAGATTCCTTTATATACTATTTCTAGCCTTTCAAGTATTAATAATTACAAATTGAGCCCCGTGAAATCATTTATTCAACTTAAGTCCTTATTTGGCTAACTTTGATGGTTGAGATTCTTGACTTTGACTAAATAATTTCTTGATTTTAACTATAAATGAATGGGGTGTAACATTCCTCATATCAGATTGGGCAAAAGCCTTGTTGTGCCCAATGTTATCTTCACCAGTTTCTTAGTTACTTTCCAATTTCAGATTCTCTATTAATTTGATCACATATCCACATTTTGTTGAGTACGGATCATCTAGATTGATGTCGACTATGGCAAATGCTTATAGATATGGGATTATGTTGATGTAAACATTTACAAAAAAGATGCCCACAGATGATATATTTATAGGGAGTGAGGAGGTGGGTATTCAAATCATTCCTTGATAAAATGATGCAGATTGTAGACGTGGATGTACTCAACCAGGATGAAGAAAATGTTAAAGCTAAAGAGAGCTACTTCAAATCAATCATGCGACTAGCTCTCGAATGTATTGCTGATTTGGCTGAGAAAACGTTCAATATGGAACATGTTGTAATAAGGCTCAAGAAGATCAAAAGTGAAGTTTTTTCTAGCATCAGTAAGACTGAGCAAGACAAAAGGTCTGTTTGGATTCACTGATAAAACCGCAACCTGGTTTTTAGGTCCATCAATGCATGCTTGAAACTTCTTTAAATCGCTATCAATGTTCTTCAAATTCTAGCTTCAGTTCCTTAATTTTCATTATTGGCGTTGAGTTGATCATTTTAGTTGAACGTGCAAGAAGAATCAAACTTGACCATAATGAGTCAAGTTGGGAAAAAAAAAAATAAATGCAGCCGATCCAAGTCAAGAGGTCTCAAGTGGTCTAAGACTTTGGTATTACGGTGAAATTATACAAAAGACCACTTGATTAAGGTCCTCGATTTAGATACATCAAAACACAGATCCTGAATTTTTACCACAGTACGAGTTTTTGTATTAATTAAATAAAGTAGAACCAACCATAGAAACTATAAGTTAGTAATTTGCTCAAATCCAAACAATGCTCTATTCATCATTACTAGTGATCACCATCAAATATTAGATTTGATCATCACCACTGATAATAAATAGCATTATTCTTTTTGCTCCATCACTTATTAAACATCTCAAAGTCTCTAAAGCTCTAACCTCACTTGGCTTGGGCTTAGACACATTTTCTCAACTAGGGCAAGCCATTTTACACTTGCTAACCTTCGCCACCACTAGAAACATGATTAGTATTGTTAGATGCGTTCAACTTTGAGGAGATGGGTGCTTGAATCAGGGAATGAATTAATGTAAATGGTAGATGTGGATGTACTCAACCAAGATGGACAGAAGACTAAAAGATTGTTCTTGAACATTAAAGAGAATTCTCTTGGATCAATCATGCAACTAGATCTTGAATGCACGATTGTTTTGCCTGAGTAATGGCCAACATGGAATGTGTTCTAATTAGGCTCAATAAGATCAGATCTGAAGTTTTTTCTTAAAATCTAAAGATCTTTCTGGGCAATGCAACCGAAGTCATAACTGTTAAGTCATAACTGTTACACATCTAAACTCAAACCTGGAGCGATGTAATCTCACGTAAGATTTTCATAACTGGCTAAGACAAACAATAGACACCACAAAGAAACAAAAGACATAACAAGGACTAAAAAATAATGAGTGATATGACCAAGGAGTTCTGTCCTGATCTGGACATATTTTTGTAAGTCAATTAACTAAAATTTTGATGGCTAACCAATCCATGTGGGCAATGTATACAAGGAGAAAATCCACAACCTCGTGACTGTTAGGACTCTGAAAAAATTGAGATGCTTTCAATCTTGATAATCTTCTAAACAGAGCAACAACCAACTTTCTTTACTGCTGAAACATCATCTTTCGAGCCAACATTAATGGTCTGCCCTTTGGGTAAAGCTGCGGGATCATCACCAACTTCAAGAGCTTTTCTGCTGACAAAATGGTATATCTGAGTAAGCACTTCTGTGAAGGAATTTTCTACGTTCATAGATTCCAGGGCAGAGGTTTCCATAAAATATGTTTTCTCTCTTTCAGCAAATGCTGTTGCGTCTTCTGTGGAAACAGCTCTCAAGTGACGTAAATCTGCTTTATTTCCCACAAGCATGACAACAATGTTTGAATCTGTGTGATCCCTGAGTTCCTTCAACCACCTCTCGACATTTTCAAATGTCACATGGCGCGTGACATCGTAGACTAGCAAAGCACCAACAGCTCCTCGATAGTAGGCACTTGTGATTGCACGATATCTTCAGCAAAAAGCATACATTGAGACAAATATTCCCACAATAGGATAATTACAAAGTTGCATATTGAACAAGGAGGAAAAGTACCATAAAATTGAACTTAAATACAGTTTCTAAAGCATGACTTGATTCATAAGCACAATAATGTGGTTCAGAATGGCAACAGGCGTTAACATAATATTCAGGTTAAAGAAGAAAATGCAAAGATGATATGTAGAAATCTAAAAACATGAGAGGAGATCAAAATTACTAATTTATCAGATTTAAATTAAATCAATGCAACAACAAAGGTTTCATTTTGCATCATCAAAATCTCACTCCATACATAGACCAAAAAGGGGAACCAACATTCATCCACTACAAATGAATTCACATCAAGTAACCTAAAATTTATATCTACATTCAATCACCATCCCAGATCTCAAATTTCTGTACCAAAAAATGCACATCGCTATAAACCTGAATAAACACAGATATTGATTAACCCATCAAAGATGTACACGAAAAGTATAGAACAAATAAGATGTGTACCGTTCTTGTCCGGCGGTGTCCCAAATCTGGGCCTTGACAACTTTATCTTCAACGCGGATACTTCGAGTGGCGAATTCAACGCCGATAGTCGACTTAGACTCTAAACTGAACTCATTGCGGGTGAATCTGGACAGTAAATTCGATTTTCCGACACCGGAATCGCCGATGAGCACCACCTTGAACAAGTAATCGTAGTCGTCGTCCGCTCTGTATGCACCCATTTCTACTTACTGGGGTTTATTATGTGTGTGTATATACACACACTGAATATATCTAAATCTGGGTTCTGTAGAATGAATTGAGTGTGAATCTGAGGTGAATCACGATGACTGCGCGCCGTTCTGAAAGGAATGACAGAAGAAGAACAAATATATATAAAATTACTTTCTTTATTTAACAAATTGCACTATTCATCCTCGACCAATTGTTTGAGTAAAAATTAGTTCTTATAGTTTCACAATCGCTCTTCGAAGGATAATTTTCGCCAAAGGGATAATTTTGAACGATCCTTGTGGTCTAGCCCAAAACCCACCAACCTGCACCATGTCCATCCAAATAGGAAGTTTTCGTTGTGCCATTTACAAAATTGTATATGAAAGAAACAAAATTTGAAACTTCTGAATTCATAGTCTAAAAAATCTTATTTGACCATCTAAACAAAAGCCATCGGCATATTGGAGTCGCATGTGACCAATATTTATGCATTGAGTAGGTAAGTTGCATGATACTTGTGAAGATGGCATCAACAATCGTAATGTAGCACAAGGCTACATGGCAAATTTTCGTTTTTCTAATTCATGGTCCATGACAATGGTACAACATGATTTGTCTCTTTCGCCGCTTGAACAAAATAAGATAATTCATCGAACACGTTGTATTATTATCTCTTTCGCCGCTTGAAGAATTTTTAATTTCTTATTCCGACTATAATACTATGTGATATAGCTGAAATTTGGATACAACACTAGAGTTTATAGAACACCTCATATTAGGGCCTATTTGGTACTGATTTTCATTTTCTACTGCAAATCAATTCTCATTTTCAACTACACATTCTTCAATAAAATAATATTTTTCATCACATCAATATTTTTTTCTTCTTTTTCAACCACACATTTCCCATCATATCATTATTCAAAATCAATTTTTCCTCTAAAAATCCCTACCAAACACACTCTTAATGATATATGTGTACGCATTTATCCAATTACACGTGTCGTGTATTAAAAATACTGTTTCATATGCATTGTTATGGGGATGCGACAAACAAACTCTTAATTTTCTTGGCAGCATGGTTTTGATGCATTTGGAACTTGGAAGTCAATTTGTGGGGGGAAAAAGTCTACACCATCAAATTTTCCAATTAATGCAGGTTCAAGTTCATCTCGAACCGAGTTATCCAACTCACTTTAAACTCGGAACCCAATTGAAAATGGCGACGGGTCTTCTGATCAGTTATTTGTGCTTCTCTCCTCTCTACTTCCACTTCTCATATTCCTCTCCTTTACGTTTGCCCGTCGGAGTTCATCCTTTAGGTGATCCCCTATCTATAAAGATGATTTTTTTTTTTAAATCACGTATTATTGTACTTACGCATAACATATGTTTGTGGAATTGCAGATGAGAAGTACTTTGATACAAATGTGATCAAATGTAAAGATGGGTCCAAATCATTCACCAGAGACCGTATCAATGACAATTTTTGTGATTGCCCCGATGGCACTGACGAGCCCGGTAACTCATTGTGCCTTGTTAAAGTATTGGCTTTTATTACAAGTTTCAGTGATCATTAAATTGAAGAACTTGTATAGTCGATTCAAGTGCCAAAAGAATAGGCTTTAGCAAGAAAAAAATGGTAAAAGTAAAGTTCTTAATTGCTGAATAAGTACTTTAGCATCTATTTTCAAAAAAAGCTATTCAGGACTACCAATAGTCACCCTACATGATATATGATATACATGTAGCAGTTTGTTATTTGATGCATTAACGTGATAATGTATTATTGCTATCAAATATCAAACTACCACGTGAGACAACTATTGGTAGTATTCACTATGAATAGCATTACTCAATCTATTTTGATGTATTAGATATGCTTCTTTCTGTCTACTAAAACTTACACTGGTTAATAAAGAACTCTTTTTTGGAGTTCCTTGTTGCTGCTTAGTTCGTCTCTCTTGATTAGATTATGATTGGGAATGATTTTCAGATTCGATTGTCGACATATGGTGGGTATTGTTATTTGGTTAGGAAGATAGATCGTCCTCCTTGGTTAAGAAGTTGCAATCTATCTTCTAGATTCAAGTTCTCCCAACTCGGGAGAAATGATGGGCATATTAGTAGAGATAGTATTTAAATTAGTTTTCATTTATAATGCTTATTTTAGGAAACATAAATAGATTTTATGCTTTATAATAAAACACAACTTTAATATGAATAAAAATTGATACTTTCTCCTCAAATTTCCCTGCTGTTTGTCTAATTCTTCTTCCCTTTCTATCTCCCTCTTTTTATCTCCATCTCTTCTTCTTTTCCCCCCTCATTTCTCTTCGTCTCTCACATTTCCCCTTCTTCTATATATAATTCTATTATTTTGTTTGATTGCATCCTACTTTAGTTTGATGAACCTCAATCTAATAATGAAGCTCTGTTTTTCCATACGCTCTGATTATGTTCCATATATCAGGCCCTTACATATCTAGTAACTTGAATGCAATGTACAAGTTATATGCTGTTTAAGTCTCAATGTTTTTTACTATTGGATGTGTAGGAACTTCAGCATGTCCAGCTGGAAAATTCTATTGTAGAAATACAGGAAGCACACCACGATTCTTATTCTCATCTCATGTGAACGATAAAATTTGTGGTAAGTTGTCTATGTGTATTTTATTTTCTTGATCGTGTCATAGTGGTTTCTTATGACTTTCTTATTTTTATGGATGAATCACATTCATTGCAAGTTAATAGTTTCTTTGCGTATTCTTCTACGTCACTCATGCACTGGATGTGCATTCTGTTTTGATTCTATTATCATGATAACATGGTCAATGATGCTTGTTGCCTTCAAAGACCTACTCAGACGTGGTTGTTGTATGTCTTTTGGACTTTCCACCTGTATACTTAAGAATCCACCGGTATACTAAAGAAGTACTTTTTGCTTGCTCTCTCCACTTACCTTGAGAACAAGTTCTATGTCAGCGTGTTTTAACTATTCACGTTTTTGTAAATGCCACTAAGTTTGCAAAGTAAAAAAATACTATGCTGGCTATCTTATTTATAACTTTCATATATTGTTCTATTTTTTATTTTTTTTAAGTTTTAAACATTGTATTGTCACCTGAATATTAAATCTTCTAGCTCTATTTGCAGATATCTTATTTACTTTCTGATAACCAAATATTATTTTAGATTGCTGTGATGGAAGTGATGAGTATGATGGAACTGTCATCTGTCCTAATACTTGTGTCATGGGTGGGAATGTTGCTTATCAGACCATAAATTATGGGTCACTAGCTAGTCGTGCAGGTTCTGGTGATTCAAGGAAACATAAGCCTAAGATCAAAACCGAGAACTCTATGCCGAAGCTTATAGGTACTTGTATATCACAGCTCTTGCACAAACTACTTGTTTTCTGTGACAAATTAATATATGCTTATTCCAGGTCTGAAGGTAATGGTCTTCCTCCAGTTGGCTATAGTTGTTGTTGTTGTGGCTTTCCGGCTAATTCGTCGCCGCAAGACTAGAAGAAGATATTCGCATTGAAGAAATTTGTCACCAGCTTACTTGATCATGGTATCTTTTCTTAGACTCCACTCTTTGAATTTTGTTTCCTCTTGGAAAAATCGAATTCCCTTAGACCTCTCAGTTTGCTCTTATGTATACTAGAAGATGTGGACATGATGATAAGAAGATCACAATGGAACAGAAACATTAAAACCAAAAACAACTTAATTGGTCACAATAAATAAACTAAAACCAAGTTGTGTACGGTCCGGTTTGCATCCCTTGAAATTTGTCAGCAGAATGCCATCAACTATATGAGGGGATGCCAATTATGTGATGCATGATTGTCGCAATTCATTGATTGATCCTCTTGACTCGCTTTTGAAGAGGTATTATTAGAGGAAGTTTGCTTCTCCTAATCTCCTTTTCTTCTTTGATCTTCATGACTTGTTTTCTCTTTGTCCTACTCTCTTCTTTGACAGTTTTCATGTCTTTCTTCTCATAACTTTCTGCTTCGCTATCTTCAATTAGGATCGCTGTCAAAGTTTTTTTTTGTATTTGGACTTCAGATTCTCTTTCTCTACATTTATCATTTTCTGATAAATGAAGGATAACTTCCCGTCACGGGTTTCACTGATTCTAGATAGTGTATTCTTCAGATCAACAAGCTTCCATTCTTTACTAAAATGGAAATTCTTGTTTCCCTGGACGAAAATCATTATTTTTGAGTTTTTAAAGATAGTTGTTGCACATTGATGTTCACAAATGGCTTAGAATTTGTTTAGTGGCCTCTCTTTTGACTGATTGCACATATTCTTGAACAGGACTTACTATGAAGATTCTGCTTTTCGGCTTGGTCTGTATTATAGAAGACTTTGTGGCATTGAAAAAGAGCAGGGTTTACACTGTGAAAGTAGTTGAACCTGTATGCATGAAGCCATTAGTGCAAAAGGAGCAGCTGTGAAATATATGGGTAAAAGTTTTCTTTGTGCTAATATGCACAAAGATGTTTTCCAGTTCATGTTGTCTTGTAACATACCTGGGGATGTATCTTGTGACCCATTTGTTGAAGTATGGATGTTTCCTTTCCTCCACAATATAGAAGGGTTTCTTTTATATGACTAGCTAGAGTTGTACCATTGCTGGCACGTGTTTAATGTTTACAATGTCACCAAGAAGTGCCTTTTTCATTCTGCTAGGGTTAAGATTTTAGATTTTTAGTTGCATTCAGTTATGTGTAACGGAATTATGTGTCAATGACTCTTGGTTGATCCTTATTTCCTTTTGTGTCATTGTTTTGTTCATCTTTTACTTTGAATATTCTCTTATTCGTGTCCATCATTTAATTTCTGGAGCCAGATTGGATTTATTGTCGATAGAATTGTTAAAAGTCACTTTGTCACCTGAGTAAATAGTATAAATGGTGAAGGATACAAACGCCAAGAGTTATTCTTCTGCCAAAGAGTAAGGCACGCCTCAACTTTACCTTCAACGAGCT